TCCTGAGCAAACAGGGCAAAGAAAAGGGGATTCTCTGGCTTACTGGCCTCAAGGGAAGGGTGCTCAATGTTCTGCTCTGTTCCAACATCACCTGCCCAAGGAGGCATGGGGTGGCTCTTACAAATACGATCTGCAAGGTTGATATCCCCATGAGGGGACAAGGCCACCTTTTCCAGGAAGAAACAGAGGAATGAGGTCAGGACAAGACAGCACAGGGTGCCCCATAAGAATCTGGGACAAAGGAGCCTCGGGTTCTCCAGATAAGAGGAGTTGCCTGGAGTGTGCTGGAGCTGTGAGTGCCATCAGACTCACAGTCGCCAGCTCATAGCCACGCCTGTGAACACAGCACACAACTCTGAGGGGGCAGCTCAAACAGAAAGGCAGCAACACCTGCAGGAGGCTGAGGGAGCCACGGCTGCTGCCCCACCTCAGCCCCAGAGTCTTCCAGAAATGGCTGTACTGGGCAGAGATTTACTGGTGCAATCTTTTTTTTTTTTTTTTTCTTTTTCTTTTTCTCTTAAATATTCACAGGTCACAAAACTGCCTCTGGGCATTATACCCACGATTAAGACATCAATTAACTGAGGTCTGAATGCTCCGCTGATTAAAATAGTAGCAAGACAGGATGAAGTATTTCCAAAATCAGTCTCCAAGCATCAAAGTGCTACTGTGTCGAATGAAACTCATTGAAAGGGCCAGGAATTCCACCTCTCCTGGCGACAAATGTGTAGGGAATGGTTCTGCAGCCAAGAGTTGAATACCACAGGACTCCCCGCTTCCCCGACCATCCCTTCCACAGAGACCGAGTGATAGAAAGGTTAAAATCCAAAAACAATAAGAGGACAAAAAAGAAAAGGGCTGGGTGGAATTACATACCCTCAGGAGGCTCAATCAGTAAGTCCTGTCAAAAAACCAGAGCCAAGCTCACCCGTGAGCAGAAGCTGCCCAACATCCTGAAGTGCCCACATCTCATCTCCCGCCTCTGGCACACAGAAATCCAAGTTCTCTCTCGGCCCTGGGAATCCCATTTCCATTTGACATTTTCATTAAATGCAGGGTTAAATGCTTATTCATTAGGAGATGTGGATGAGCAACCTACTGGAATACGTCTCATATGAGCACCAAGAATCGAGGTCATCATTGACGTAGCTTTCTAATTTGGGACATGTTCGCCAGGATGCAGGGTCCTGGGGCACCTCTGCCCCTAAACCTAAACCATCAGTGCTTACCATCTCCTGCGCACACAGAAGGCAGGGAAGCAGAAATAGACATGTTACCCACTGCCTGCCTAATGCATGCAGGACACTTTCGCTCCGTGTAATTAACAGTTCTAAAACTGGCGTATGACTCAATTGAACACAGTCTCACTCAAAACCCAAGAAGGCACAGGCAATTGCTGATGTGCCTGCGCTTCAGTGACGCTTCCAGAGGTACTTAGCTGGGACCCAAGGCATCGAGCCACTCAACAGTATGAAGGCATCGCCTTTTATTTCCTTCCCTACCTTCAGATCAATTTCATCATCTGCAAAACAGCAATGTAGAACCACAGCCTCAATTATGGAAGTGAGATGCCGGCTCTTATTAAGTTTCAACTTTTGACCTACACATTCAAACTGTAATACCCAGCACAAGGAAAGCAATGATCAGTTATGATCTCATGTTTGTGGGGAAGAGTATGATTATAGAGGAATTTACAGGAAATCAAAAAGGCACTGCTTGAGAGAATGGAAAACAATAAAACACTCATACAAAGGAAATGAATGCCACCCAAACAAAAATGAAAAAGATGGTTTTGCCGTGCTGGGAGAGGCTGCTTGCCGCCTCCTAATCAGATGGGCTTGGGGAGGAACCCCACATTCCCAGCCAAGCTGCTAGCTGGGAGCCAGGGTGTGCATGGATGCCGAGGAAGCTCAGCCACTTGGGCCCTGCCCTCTAGACGGGCTACACCCTGACCTCAACCTGAGATCCACTCTGAGGGCTCCAAGAACCCTGTACTTCCAGGGGCTGACACCTGCGCAGGCCCAGCCTCCAGGGTGCTCCTCTGAGCCACAGGGGCCACACAAGATTCTGGAACCAACAGCCTGGGCTCAACCGGCATCATCTCTTCTGACATGTCACTACCCTCTCTGTGCCTCAGTTTCCTCATCTGTAGCGTGGAACAGTCAGAGAACCTATCTACTGTACCAAACAAGAAAACTTCTTGGAATCAGGTAGCATAGCACTGTCCTTTGTTCTGCTGGAGGGCTCAACGGGTGATATTATTAGGAGCATTTGACTCATGCCCTCATTCAGTCCTTGCTCCATCCATTACTCTGCAGGTGAGAGAATAGAAGCTGGTGAGTTGTCATATCCTCAGCACGAGCTACCACTGCATCTCCATTTTACAGATGACACAGCTGAGGCTCATGAAAATGAAGGCCACCCCGGGGGATGTAGAGTAGGGTTAGAACTCAGATGTGTCTGAGCTGGCAGCCACCCCCAACACCCGACCCCACCAATTTTCCCTCCACAGAAAGAGAGAAGGCAGAGAGAGCATTCCTGAGCCAGTGTCCAGCCAGGCATGATGGTGCAAACAAGCTGGGAGGCTGACGCAGGATTGCAAGCTTAAGCCCAGCCTGGGCAACTTTGTAAAACCCTGTCTCAAAGTCAAAAATAAAAAAAGGCTGGGCATTAGTTCAGTGTGAAGGCCCCAGGCTCAATCCAGAGAGACAGACAGAGAGAGAGAGAGAGAGAGAGAGAGAGAGAAGGAAAGACAGACCCAGTGCAACACTGAGTCATAATCTGATATGAGGAAGAGCCGCATGCTCCGGGAAATGAAGGATCTGCCCGCTGTTCCACCCAGAACCCTCCCTCAGTTTCAAGGGGAGGGCAATGCTCACTGCCTTAAGGGCAACCGCATCACCGTGGAGACCGGGGACCTATGCTATTAAAACATACCCCTGAGGCAGCAAGGACAATGTGACATTTCTGAAATCATTCTACTGCCATCAAATGCCAAATAAGTCCTCTCTGCTGCTCCGGTTAATAAAGTTGAGAGGCAGTCTTAGGAACGCAGACGCCACCTCAAAGCCTTGGAAATGTCACCCTAGTTAAAGCGTGCTTGCTCTGACGTGATGAACTAGTGGTTCATCCTTCCAGGACACAATGCAGCGTGTGCCCCCGCTGTGGTCTCCAAAGTGCCCCACTGTAAATCACCTCAAGGGAAAGTTACAGTGAGGCGACGTAAGTGTACCCAGGCCCATTCTGAGAATCCACAACCTCTGCCAAGGGGGAGGGTGGGCTGCAGGGAGGCTGAGCATTTGTTACTCTACATAAATGAGAAGAGGCAACTGTGAATTTAAACACACAGCCCCATCCTCAAGGAGTGTGTGCTCATGATAGCCCCTGGACCAAGACCAGGACTCCCAACAGAGGTAGGGTGCCGACTGGCCTCTATGTCTCAGGAGGACCAGTGAATATGCCTGTCAACAGCTCTCACATCTCCCCATCTTACTCAGCCCTCTCCCCTGGCACCTGCCACAGACTTAACCTGCCCCAAATAAGTCCGAGACCTGCCTCAGCATCTGCCCTCCCTCTAGTTCCTAGCTTAGTGATGTACCACCCAACTGTTTAGAGCAAAGACCTACAGCTGCTGTCTCTCCACTACCAAGCTGGTTCCTGCCTCTAGCTTTCCCTTTCAAATCTGTCACACCACTCCCTCCATGGCCACTTGGATCCCTGTAACAGCCTTGTCGTTGGCAGCCTGTTCCTACTCCTACAACTGAGTCTTCAATCACAGACCAAAATGATTTCAGGAAATGCAAACCATGTCCTCCTGATTCATTCTCTGAGGAGTACCCGTGTTTCCAAGATCTAAGATCAAGTGAAAACCCACACCAAGACAAGCCTAGCCACTGCCCTACTCTCCAACCACCCTCAGGCTCCACCAGACCGCACAAGACCACTGCCCTCCCTCTGGTTTCTTTGAATAAGTGCTGCCTTGGCCTGGACCATTCTCTCCTGCTCTCTGCTCCTGCATCTCCAACAGCCAACTCCTGTTCACATTCAGGTCTCAGAGTTGTCTCCAAGCCCCAAGGTTAGGTAGTTAGATCTCCATAAAGACAGGACCAGACGTGAGAAGGCCACACATTTCCCACTAAAGTGCTGGAGTGGCAAAGGTCCAGCCTTGCCTTGCCTCTCTTCTGCCTTCATGCTAAGAATAGCCTAATAATAATAATAATATGTTTTAGTTGGGCATGATGGTGTATGCCTGCAATCCCCGTACTCTGGGAGGCTGAGGCAGGAGTATCACAAGTTCAAGCCCAGCCAGGCAACTTAGCGACTTGGTGAGAGCCGGTCTCCAAAATAAAAGAGAAAGAAAATATGTGTGGAGGTGTAGAGGTGAGGATGAGTGTGGACGTAGCTAACTGCGAAGGACCTGGGCTCAATCCCAAGTATTGGAAAAAAAGAAAGAAAAGACGTTTAGCTGCTATAAAGAGCAATTCGATGGCTTGCGAAGAAAACTAATGGCACGTCAGAGTTGGAGGGCCAGTTCCAGGGCATAGGGAGGCCATGCCCTACCTGAGAAGGCTTGCCCTCTAGCTGCCAGGCACTACACTACAGGCAAGGGTTACCTCAGAAAGAAAGAAGGCAGCAAAAGAACACTTGTCAAGATACTTAAGCCGTGTGAGGAAAATGTGTTCACCTTTGTGGCAGTGGGGTTGTGTGTGATGTTTACATCTACACTTTCACTATCCTTTTCTGAACTGTGTCTCTCTACTGGGCTTAAGCACAGTGGGAGTTTTTGAAAGACTGAAATTAAAGGAAACAGTAAGTAAAATTTAGTTGACAGTCAGGTGACTTGTGCCCTTTTGAAAAACAAAACAACAAAAGCCTCAAACAAAACAGACAGGGCTAGGGGAACAAGTTCTAGGACTAGCTTTCTGAGTGCGCTCAGTGGGGTGAAGGGGACTGCCCGGTCTCCCACTCTAGGAACTGAGCACAACAAGCAGGACACTCACCATTCCACGATCTCTGGGTGAAGAATGGTGTTGTTGACGTTGAACCTGTGGAGAAAGAATAAACCAAGCCCATTAGTTCCATGGTCTATCTCTCATTCAGGACATATACACCATGACCAAGAGAGGTGTCCAATCTCGTTTTCAGACACTGCCTTGATCAGTTGCCCAGGCTGGGCTTGAACTTGGATCCTCCTGGCCTCAGCCTCCCAGAGCTGGAATTATACACATGTACCACTATGCCCAAGCTTGGTCTCTAACCTTTTAACTGCCTGATGCCCTGACCTGCAGAAAGCCTGCTGCTTGCTTACCATGGCCAACCTGGCAGACTGGGCCAGGACTCTCAAGTCCAGCGACCTGGAGCTCCCCACCCCATACTGGGCAGATGGCAGAGCCTCTTTACTAAGTACAGCAACACATATATAATGGGAGCATGATAAAGAAGAGAGATAGAAAGAGACGGAAAGGCTATTTGAAATAAATAATGGTTGAAAACTTAACCATCTTGATGAAAAACACTAATCTATGTATCCAGGAAGCTCAATGAACTCCAAGAAAGGTAAATTCAAAGAGAGCCACACCTTAGACATAGTTTGTTAGTACTGTTAAAGACAAAGAACAAAGATGGGAATACACGTGAAAGGGAGCCGTGCAGACTGCAATGAAGACACACCACAAAGTAACTTGAATCTACACGAAGAGAAAAGGTCACTGAGAAGGTAACCACATAGGTGACTATAAAGACAGTTTAAATGTACTATTTTTATTTTTTTGTCTCTAGCTTCCTTTTCTCTCATCTCACTTAAAAGATGATGATATAAAGTGATAATCGCAAATTTGGGTTGATAGGCACAAAATGAATAAAGACTCAGTCTGTATCCATAACAGCAAAAAGGGAAAGAAAGGAAATGGAGATATATTGGGATAAAGTTCTTGCATACTATTGAAATTGAGTTCATATAAATACAGACCATTTCTATAAGAGTAAGGGGTCAACTGTAATTCCTAGAGCAATTACTAAGAAAGTAACTAAAAGAGAAAAAAGAATAAGAAGGGAATCAAAATGGTAAAATACACACAGAAAAAAAGCAAAACAAAAGTTCTGCCAGGAATTTAGCTCAGTGGTTCCACAGCCTGCCTTGCAAGCATAAGGTCCTGACTTCAATCCCCAGTAGCAAAAAAAAAAAGTTAGTTACCGTATGACCCAACAGTTTCATATGTAGGGAAATGAGAGTATATGTTCATGAAATTCGTACATCAACAATCATAGAAGCAATATTTACAGCAGCCAAAAAGTGTTAAGTAACCAAGTGTCTATCAAGTGATAGACAAAATGTGTTAAATATCCATAAAAAGAATACTTTTCCACCATAAAAATGAGCAAAGTACCGATTCATGCCACAGTATGGATGAACCTTGAAAATATGCTAAGGTAAAGAAGGCAGACACAAGCAATGATGTACTGAATGAGTTCATCAAATGTCAGAGCAGGAGAATCCATACAAACAGAAAACAGATCACTAGTTGCTTAGAGTCAGGGAAATGGAGGAATAGGAAGTGACTGCAAATAAGTACTGTAAAGGTTTCTTTTTGGGTGATGAAAATGAAATGACAGCTGCACAACTCCGTTAACACCCCAAATCTATTCAATTGTACACTTTAAGTGGTAAACTGTAAGGCATACGATTAGTCCCAATAAAAGTGTTTTTAAAAACATACTGAACTATGCACATAATGAATTTTATTTTACATGCAAAATTTATTTCAAAAAAGCTGATTCAGAAAAAATTGACAGAAAGGAAATTTAGCTTGAGATTTTCACATTCCTCTTGTAGTGGTAAAAGAGGTAAACAGAAATTGAGAAAGATGTAAGAACGATCAATACAATTAAGCAACTTAACTGACATATACAAAACACTATAGCCAACAACTAGAATGTGTGCTCTCTTCAAGTATACATCATTTATTATAATAATCATATACTAGAATTTTCCACAGATTTCAAAGAGTTGACAGAATTTCTATTGATCAGAGTAGAATTAATCTAGAAATCAATGACAGAAAGGAAACCATACAATCCCAAATTGTTTAGAATTTAAACAACAGACTTCCAAATACCCTCTGTTGAAAGATAAAAGTCACAGTGAAACTAGAAAATTTAAAAATGAAATCTTAGAACCTATGAAATGTAGCTGAAGCAAAGCTTAGAGGAATATTTAGAGCCCTACACATGTACAGTAGAAAAGAGCACTAAAAACCAATAACCTAAGCTTCCATCTCAAGAATGTCCATTTCTTTCTTCCCAAGAAATCAGAGAAAGAACTAAAACCTAGAGATATGAAGGAAATCTATAAGAGCGCAAATTAATGAAATTTTAAAAAAATGCTACAAAGACAAAGCTTTCGATAAGATGCACATAACTGAGAAGGTGGCCCCAGGAGACAAAATGATTCCAGGACACATCTCTGACACAGGAGAGCCACACGTGACCCAGAACTCAAGCTACTGGTGAGTCAGCGGGGAACAATGAAGTGGCCCAGTAAAGTACAGGTCTCAGCAGAGTAGCCCTGGAGAGCCTTCAGCCCTCTGGCTCTAGGCCTGCTCTGTCACAGGCCAGGACTCCACACCAAGGATGAGCAGGGTAGTGAGCTTCTGTCCTGCAAGCCAAGGACTCTCCATGGTCTCAGTGGTGGTGTTTGAAAGCACCTGTGTAATGCCACAGTTGTGAGGCTGGCAGCCAGATGACCAAAAGGCAAAGATGGGGTGGGGGGGCAAACACACACAGCAGGCTAAAGGGACTTCTGCTCTGAATCCTGACTACACAAACACAGCTACCTGATTTAAAGTCAAACTAACAGCTACGGAATCAAAGCCCTATTGTGAAATATCAGAGATACTATAGGCAGAAAAGTGGTTCAGAGTGAAGAAAAGAGCAGCAGATGACATACACCAAGATGACAAGAGAGATACTATCTCCCAGGTCACCAAATGTCACTTTGAACTTAGGAAAAGAAATGACGTATCTACACAACAGCCAGACAAACTGGCAAAATTCCACTTTACACAATATCTTGCATACACACACACACACACACACACACACACACACACAAGCAGCTAAGTGACAGCACAGATACACACACACAAGGCACATGCTCAAACACACAAACATGTAGACAACAGGCACATACATACACGTGAACAGATAGATCTAAGTCCTGCCTTATCCATGGAAGGATGTGTCCCAAGACCCCCCAGTGGATGCCTGAAACGGTGGACAGGACAGAACCCTACGTATACTATGGTTTCTCCTATGGCAGTGATGGCGAACCTTTTAGAGCTTTCAATGCTACAAACAGCCCACTGCAGCACAGGGGGCCATGGGTTCCCCACTACTGTAGAGTACATGTATAAATATACATATTTAACTTATGATTAGGTACGGTAAGAGATTAACAACAATGAATAATAAAATAGAAAGATTATACTAATATTCTGTCATAAAATTACCAGCATTGGGGCCATTAAGAAAAATACTTGAATATAAACAGTGGATACCATGACAGTGGATCTGATAACTAAGATGGCTACTAATGGATAGTACTAAGATGTCTACAGCATTGATACACTGGACAAGGGGAATAATTCATCTCCTGGGCACATGAGTGCAGGAATGCAATTGAAAATTTATGAACTGTTTATTTCTGGAATTTTCCCTTCAATGTCTATGAGCATATATTAATCTTATGCAAAATGACAAATCCCACTAATGGCTGTGAGAGTGGGAGGGTTCTGTGGAAGTGGAGGGTGATTTACTGGTGGGCTCCCAACCTAGGGTAGACAATGACAGGTGAACACGGTGGGCCTGACCCACTGTATGGGGCTCTGGCTTCCTCCCCAGAGTTTCCAACCCAATGAGGGAGGGAGGACCCCCACACATACACTCCACACCACACATCCCCCCTGCTAAAGGGCTGGGGCAGGTTCTACTGTGGAGATTCCATGGGCCATAATTTAAAAACTGCTCCCATGAAGTTAATAGTAACCAGAAAGCCATGGTGCCCAAACCACATACTGGCATTTTGTAGTAATTGTCAAGTTTAATAATGTCCTGAGTTTTAAAATTCATCTTTGAATATTAATCCTCCTGCATTAACAACCCCAAATTCAGCATTTCATATTTAACAGCTTATTTAAATGGAATTAATTTGTAACCAATTGTCTTCAAGTATGCAAGGCAATTTAAGTAAATGCCAAAAGACGAGAAATATGCTTATCCTGAATAACCAGCTGATGTAAAATATAGACCATATTTCTCCCTTAGACAATGGCATAACGTAAGTGTCCTCTGTAACTCTCCTTTCCCACCCAGGCTCTGGGACACACCGATTCCACCTCCTGCCAGGGGAGCAACCCATTATGTGATGTGAATTTGATGGGTGGGTAGCTCCCAGCTCATACCACTTGGCCCCCCGAAGACCATCTCTATGCCTTTGCGGTCAAAAATCCTTGTCTCCAGAAAATCTGCCCTAAAATCTACCTCCTCAGAGCTAACAAAAATTTGTTCATGTCTGACTTGGTTCCCAGGCTGCAAAAACCAGTGTTCCAGGGAGCCTTGGTGTCCGAAATCCATAGGAAGAAGTCCCCAGTCCTTTTCATGGCAGGTTTCTCCTCTCCATCTCAGCTCCTCCCAGCTCCAGCCCAAAGACAAGTCCACCACCAAGGCCCCACCAGCACTTGCAAACTTAAAACCCCTTAGTCCCACCAGAGCCCACACTGGGACTTTTCCTTCCAAACCTTCCCTGGACCTTGCCACTGTTCCAATCAGGCTAAGCATGGAGCTGTGGCTGGGCCAGACGCCATTCTCAGCTCAAAGATTGCACAGGCTGCCCCTTCTGCTCCCTTTGCCCCATCAACATCATTACACCGAGCTCTTTGCTGAGCCCTAGGTCACAGGGGGACTTCTCTGGCCTCCTGCATGGCACCATCCAGCCTGCCTCTGATTCCCCATTCCCTCTGCTCCTGTCTGCTGCTATCCCACTCTGAAACCCCACATATGCCTTACTATGGGCAGCAGGCAGCCTGGCTCTGATCCCAGGAGACCGAAAATGGTCTGGGGCCAAGACTAAGCCCACATGGGACAGAATCTGAGTCAAACAATCCTTAAAAGGCACATTTGGAAAGAAGGTCATGATCAACTGCCCAGCTAGACTAGGGTCCTGAGGGGCTGTGATGGCTGGGTAAGTGAGACTACTGTTAGCCCTCTCCTCTCTGCAGGCCAAGGGAAAAAGGTGGCCTAAGGGGTCTATCAGGACAAACCATTAACTTCCATTAAAGTGAGAGGTCAACTGGATGCGGTGTCTACAATCCTAGCACTCTGAAGACTGAGGCAATAGGATCACAAGATTGAGCTGGTGATGTAGCAAGACCCTGCCTCAAAATAAAAAAAGCTGGGGATACAGCTCAGTAAAAGGTTCCAAGTTCAATTCCCTCTAACACACACACACACACACACACACACTGAAACAAAAATAAAAGATCCCAGATGGAATAGCTTCATAGAGGTTTAAAAGAGCCAAAGTAAAAGTGTAAAAGTTCCGGGAATAAAAGAGCTTCATCAGGGCAGTGAGAGGTGACTGGGGACAGAACAGTCGAGTATTAGAAAGTAGGACGACAGCAAGATTCATCTTGCTTAGAAAACAAGCTATTATTATCCCCAGCAAACAGCTGGAGAGGCACTTGGCAGGTGGGTGAATGCGGCTGCTGAGCCGCAGTGGCCCTCAAGGACAAGGTCTCTTCCTAGCTTGGCACAGAGGCTGGGGGTGGTGGAACTGAAGTGCTGGAAGCCCAGGCCGTGGGAGGCAGGGGGCTGAGCTATACTCCGAGTCTGAGAACACAGATGTGACTTTCTGCAGGGAGGAGCTGGGGGCACCTGTGGGCAGAGCCCAGAGCCCCAAGTCAGTGTCAATGGCATGCCAGGCAGGCAGGGGGCACCTGCTGAAGCCTCCTGTTCCATGGGGCAATGTGAAGTTGGGGTTAGAGGGTGACAGAGTGAGATATGAGCCCAAGATAGGAGGTATGGGAAAATTTGCCAAGGATGGAGAGAGGAGGGGGTACCACAAACGGGCCAGGACACCCAAGGCAAAGAGACAGGTGCAGGGGTCTCCCCTGCAGCTAGTGAACCAAGTCAGACACTTTGGCCATAGCCCATCACCAGGCACCAGCATGAGGGGCAGACTCTCAGCCCAGCCCACCAGAGCCCCCACCTGGACTGGACCATGGGGTACAGATGGCGCAGTACATACGCTGGGGGAGATGGTACAAAATTAAGTCAGTCTTGGCTCTCTAAAAAATGTCAAGAGCAGGACATGGTGGCATATATAATCCCAGCACCAAGAAGCTGAGGCAGCTGGACTACAAATTGAAGCACACCAGGCAATTTAGCAAGACTGTCTCAAAAAAAAAAAAGTCTCCAAATGCTGCCTTGGTGTAGGATACAGAGCACTGGCTTCTCATGGACTCAGAAGCATGGGGACCAAAGTTGAGGTATGCTTAAGGGAGAAAGAGGTCAAGCCAGGCATAGTGGTGCACACCTGTAATTCTAGCTACTTAGGAAGTTGAGGCAGGAAGATCAAAGTTTCAGAACAGCTTGGACAAACAGGGCTTAGAATGTAGCACAGTGAGTGGGTGCTTGCCTAGCACACATAAGGCCTTGGGTTCAATCTTTACTGCAAAAAGGGAGGTAGTCAAGAGTTCACAGCAGGGAATCCTCCTAGTGGGGTGGGATGAGGCCACCACTTCTGTCCCCCACTGACAAGGAAAATGGCCCTAGGGCAGCCTGGGGACCCAGCTGCCTCTCTTGGTGAGATCTCATGGAGCAGCCAGCAGAATTCTGCCTCAGGGGCTATAACCTGAGCTTCCACCCAGGACTACGTCTGCCACACCACCCCCAAGGAGCTCAGCAACCTCCAAATCAGAGACCTCTGGAGGGGGCAAGGGGAGACCCCATAGCCAAGATGCCCTAAAGCTCACTGTCACCCAAGAACTGGTTATCAGCCATGCTGGAGTCTTCCTGGCCACTGCACAGATTGGGAGACTGTGGCCCATGGAGCACTGGGATTCAACTGGGGCTTGATGTGGCCAAGTGAGTCCTGAACACCAGCTGTGCACAGGCTCTGGGTAAGCACAGTCTCCTGTAGTCCTCAAAACAAGCCCAAGACATGCTTCACTTGGGGGCCAAGATTACAGAGCTTGTCAGTGAAGGGGCCACCTCCTCCACTCAAGGTCCTTCCCACGAGGCAGAGACTCAGGTAGAGGCTGGAGGGACACTGTGGACAGTCCATGATGTTAGCCAAGGAAGGTGAATAGGATGATGGAATACAGGTGCCTGGCAGAACTGGGAGGACATGCAAAGGCCCAGCTCTGGACGGGCAGCGGCCACTGTGCCCACGTCCCCTTCCAGGGCCTGATGAGAAGTGCAACTCGTCGGTCAGTGTATCTGTGAGCTGGACTAATCCTGCTGGGTCTGGTAAGCAGGGCCATTCTGGGCAAACTCCCGAGAGGATGCGGCGATTTGTGTGATGAAAAGAAGCAAACCTGATACCTGGTCCCCTTACCCCATTCCTCTTATCACTGGGGAAGTGATACATATTCATGAGCTCATAATCCTTTCTAATCAGCCCTACAATGCACATACACACAGACTCCTGCAGCTCTGGCTCAGACTTCACTATAAAGTGCTTCCTCTGTCACTGCCTGGGTCCACTAAAGGACAACAGAGGACACAGTTGCTGCAGAGACTGCATGGGGGATACTGGGGACGCTGGCGGCCCAGGGCCCAGGGCCCAGAGCTTGAGTCGGGGCTGTCTGCTGTCTATGCTCAGCAGCCTCGAGGAGCAGGGGCCTCTCCTCTCGGGTGCGCTGGCAGCAGTGTCAGCCCAGCCACGCAGGCTGATCACCAGCTGGCCCAGGGACACACACAGCTGGCAGGAAGCTCTCCTGGGCAACAGGAGATGAGAGTGGCAAGGAGGTAGATTTGCTGCTCACCCTGTGCCCGGTATTGGCCCTCCTTCCTGGAGGAGCCGAGAAAAGGGGCCGCTTCCGGAGCAGGGACTGAGGGCTCAGCTCAAAGCAAACCTGGGGAGTCAGGAAGGGACAGGGGACGATACCTGGGACTGAAGGAAGAGACACGGGAAACTGCTGAGAGTGCAGCTGGGAGAGGTCGGTGTCCAGGGCTCAGAGGAGGAGGCTGCATGGCCAGGGTGTGGCACCAACGAGAACCCCAGAGCTCCAGGCTGGTGTCAGAGAGGAAGAAGACACCCCTGGCCATGCACAGGGGCCAGGAATCCCTGGGCACTTCTACTATAGTCTGTGGCAGAGAAGGCACCTTCCTTCAAGTCAAAGGTGGGGTAATTTTAGGCAAATTAGTTTTTTAAGCATTTTCTCAAAATGCCAAATCAAATCTTTTTTTTTGGGGGGGTGGTATTCATGATTGAACACAGGGCCTTCATACTGAGCTACCTCCCCAGTCCTTTTTATTTATTCATTTTTATTTTGAGACAAGGTCTCACTAAATAGCCCAGGCTGGGCTCAAACTTGCAATCCTCCTGCCTCAGCCTCCCAGGGTGCTGGGATTATAGGCATGTATCACCATCCCTGACATCAAATTCCGTTTTGGAATCCTCTTTTATTTCATGCCTTGTGTAGACACAGGGCAAGACCCGCTGACAAAGGTGTGAGTGTGTGGAGGATGGACTCGGTCCAGTGCCCCAGGACTTACTTGCTGATGCCCTCGAAGGAGGCCTCCCTGCAAACACTGCCACTGTCCGTGTTCACACCACGCTGGGGAGAAAGAAGGGGAATGAGAACACACAGAGTCACACAGGGCCACACAGTGTCCCCACAGACTACCCAGGAGGGGCTGCCTCCTCTGCTCAGGCTCTGGACAGGCAAGAAGAAGGAACGCACAACCCAGCCCAGCAAACCCTTTCCCTACTACAGTCCCCAGCCCAGCAAGCCTTCAGCCAGGTAACTCCAAAACAGGTACTCTTGTCTAGGCTATGGCTTGAAAAGCAGAGGACAGCAGGGCATTGCGGCACAGGCCTGTAGTCCCAGCATCCTGGGAGGCTGAGGCAGGGAGATCACATGTTCAAGCCAGCCTGGGAAACTTAGTGAAATCCTGTCTTAGAATAAAAAATAAAAGGGCTAGGGATGTACTTTAGTGTAAAGGCCCTGGGTTCAATCCCTAACACCCATGTGACACACACACACACACACACACACACACACACACACACACACACACACAGTGTGAAGTCCAAAAGAGTACAGCCAGCCCTCTATATCAACACATTCTGCACCCACAGATTCAACAACTGTGATTTGAAAGTACGTAGGAAAAAAACTGCACCTCTACTAAACATGCAAAGGCTTTCAAAAATCTTGCTATAGTTCCTTAAACAATACAGTGATACAGTGTAACAATTATTTACATAACATTTACATGGTATTAGATGATATGAGTAAATACAGGTGATTTAAGGTGCACAGGAAGATGTGGGTAGGTTATATCCAAATACCATTTTATATAAGGGACTTGGTACCTGCAGGTTTAAGGATCTGGGGAGCAGGGAGGGGTCCTGGAACTGAACCCACAGTTACAGAGGGATAACTATCAAATTCCACCCTTCCAGGGATGTGGGACTGTCACCAGGCAGGACTGTGGAGAAGCTGTTAACGCCCCCCTCTTTCCTAACTGTAGGGAGACTCCATACAGAACTGGACAGAAGTAGAAACAAAACAAGAGGCTCACAGAAAAACATGCCACCCTACAGAGGCAAGGCATTGTAAGTCACCATTGCTTTCTCAAGAACTTTGGATCAATTGATCAAAGTCTAATTGTATACCCAAACAAAACTCCAGGCCATCTTTGACCACAATCATCTAGTGTAACCCTCCCTTTTAGCCACCAAAACAACAGAGCGGAAAAGAGAGACCAAGTGCTAAAAAAAAAAACATCATCAGCATCATCATCAAGAACTATTCCTGTAAAAATCAATTAACAAAAGAGAAAGGGCCATTCTGGGAAGAAAGAGGGTTTTATATATGAAATCTCAAGGGCAGAGGACAAGACAGCATATTCCTCTCTGAGATATTCCACGGCCCAAGTGCCTCCTAAGCCCTGCCAGGCACCAGGAGTCCACTTTGTACCCCATCTGTGCCCCACAGTTTGGCTACCTGAGGGCAGATGCCAGTGGGGTGTGGGGTGTGTGTGTGTGTGTGTGTGTGTGTGGTTCAAATTCTAATAACAACTGAGGAGATGTGGAGTGGGACACACTGACATTTTACATTCACAAAGTCTGTGTGCTTAGCCCAACTCCATATCTAGCTGGATTTTAATCCTTAGAGGAGGATGTTGCCTTGCCCATGGCCTTGAGACAGAGCACAGCACAACCCAGGGAGTCTTAAAGGCAGGATCAGCATTTGAACTAAGTAAGTATCACTACTTATCACCAATGACAATTCTTCCCTCTTTTTTTTTTTTTTTTGGTACCAGGGATTGAACTCAGGCCCTTGTGCTTTCGAGGCAGGCACAGTGCCACTGAGCTACATCCCCAGCCCTCTATTTCTTAATCCTCCTCTGAGGCCCAACAATGGCAGAGGCAGGCCACTCCCTAAAACCCCACCCCTGTACCCCATTCCAACACACCAGCCACTTACCAAGGTGAGGAGGACAGAGGGGTTCTGTGATGTCAGGACGCTGGCGATCTGAAAGGTCAGAAAGAAAAACTCACTTTTAAAAAACTAGAAACACTCACACAGAGGGGTGTGATGATGATATATACCACCACTTAGTGATGGCACACGCTTATGAAATAGGTCCTTAAAACAGGTGGTGCTATTGTCCCCATCCTGAAGATGAGGAAACAGCCTAACAGAATCTGAAGGACCTCTACATCTACACGGTGAGCAAGCAGTAGAGAGGGCTTCAAATCTAAAGCAGCCACTCCCCACCATGCGACCTGCCCCTTCACCCTTTGGCCTCCATCCCACACTGGGCTCTCCTCAGGCTACTTCCTCCTCCAGTGCCTTTGAGAGCTCACCTCACCACACCTCTGCAGGGCTCCTCCCTCTGCCTGGAATCCCCTCCCCTGACCCTAACTCTCCATCCTCCTACTCAGGACTGAGCCCCAGTCTCCCAGGCAGCCCAGTCACCCGCTCCTCTATCGCCCCACTGGAGCCCTCAATCTCCTACCCGTAGGAAGGCATCCACCGGCCGGCATCCGCTGTGACACCAGTGCCCCAAGGGCGCTGACCACCTTGCTGGGGGTGACTCCATCCTCTCCTGACCCTCGCCCCTCAGTGTGCCTTGCATCTTAACTCCTGCACGTCCCACTGTGTCTGAGTCCCTGCAGCCCCGACCCTCCCCACCCCCACCCTGCCCCAAGTGCTCTGACACTCTCCACTCGTGAGGGTGGGGGCCACAAGGGAAGAGCTGTGGTGTTAACAGACTGACTGAGCTATCACCACCAGACTTCATCCCACACATATTTAAAGTGGGCATTTTAATAAGTTTTGACACATGTGTATACAGCTTTTTAAGTACTGAGATGCTCCCAGGGAAAAGCTGGAATATACTGAAAATCATAAAAAGATAAAATGCACCTGCAGTCCCATCCCCAGAGACATTTTAGCTTTGCACATAAAAAACTGAGATCTGTAATGACATTTGGATCATATGAAATTACATGCTTCACTTATCTCCTGTCATTAAATAGTCTTCAAACACACAATTTTTAACAGTCACCACCCATGGGGATGATAATGCTCAGTAAGCACTTGATTACAGCCTGAGCCAATCATCCTACACACATCCTCTCACTTGACCACCCACGAAGATATGAAATAGGTCCAATGTCCAGACCTCACAGATGCCACAGGCAGCTGGGTCAGAGAACTCGCCCAAGTTCACAGATAAGAAATAGCAAAGGCCAGATTTGAAACTGCACTGTATAACAGTCTTTCTTAATGGACACAGCCTAATTCATTTATGCATTCCAGTATTGAGCACCTAAATTATTTCTAACGATTAGCTATCAGAAATAATACTGTGATGAGGATGGTTGGGATATAAGGCTTTATTTCCTTAAATTTTAATTCTTTAGCTAGGGGTGGTCTATAACCCCAGAACTTTGGGAGGCTGAGGCAGGAGAACCACAAGTTTGAGCCCAGCCTGGGCAAATTAGTGAGAGCCTGTCTCAAAATAAAAATGGCTGGGGATGTAGCTCAGTGCAAAGGCCCTGGGTTCAATTTCCAGTACTGGGGGGAAAATTTACTTCTTGTAAAAAGACAAAGAAACCAAATGTGACTCAGTTGAACAGCTGTGTGGGTCCACAGCCATATACTCTGTCAAGGTTTATGATGCCCAAGTACTGAATATACCAACCTCCCTAACCTGCCTGAACAGCTCTGAGGATGACTGAGCCCCTCAGCCTCCACCTTGCACAAAGGAAAGGCTCAGCTGAGTCCCTCCTGGAGGAGGGGGAAGCTCATTAAAGGAACAGAGCCACACGTGTCAGGCCCTGGGTGTGTTGTTTGGTTGATGTGAAGGGTCTACATTCATCAGCACACAACGACTCCATCCTTTACAGCGGCAGAATCAGAGAGCGAGAAGGCACTTGGGGATTGTATCTGCTATTGTCCTTGGGAGAGACGAGCTGGATAACTAATGTGCGGGCTGATGGTTTTTCTCTCCGCAATGACTCTCCGAACGTGCTGGTTAGGAATAATGGAAGAGAAAGCTGCCCTCGCCGGCTGCTCAGACGGATCGAGGTCTGACACGGAGAGCAGGCTGTGTCTGTGAGCCTGGACAGGGCAGCATCTTTTACTGATCACAACTGCCTGAGTGGGCCCTGGTTACCTCCACGGCTGCAAAGCCTCTCCCAGACCAGCTCCATCCGCCTTTCCCCATGGAGACCCATTAGCGCTACGCTCTCATTACACGCCATGATGCTGGGCCTCAAAAATTAAGGGAACATGGCACAGCTGTGCATCACTGGCTTGAAATGTAGCCCCAGCACACGACAGCTCTGTTCTGTCAACCCAGGGCCTCATTTCCATGGAACGGTGGCCACTGGGGACCCATCAGCTCTCCCCAACCAGGGCTGTTAAATGGCCCTGCCTTGCTACAAGCATCGGTCAGCATAGATCTCCCGGGTAGCCTGGCCTCCCAGGTGGGTCGTGGTGGATGGGCACCTGCAGAACTCATCAGAGCCCTGAGGGCCTGATCCTGCCCTGGGGACAAGCAGGGGCTTCCTACAGACACCACACATCTATCCAGGCTTCATGCAAGCCTGTGGGCACTCTGAACATGGACCAGACAGGCTTTTCCCAGTGCAGCCCAGAAAGCCCACAGGGTCCCAAAGTGCAGGGCTTCGCCCTGCAGGCACTGGAGCTCTTGAAAATAAACCATCACTCAGGGCAGTCTCCTGAAACATTAGTGCACACTAGTGGCCTGACACGTTTTTGAAATGGAGAATTTGTTTCTAAAATGGAAACATCACAAACAATATGGATGTGCAGCTACTCTGGAATAAGTGCAGAATCTAGCAGCCCCGGGACAGCAATCTTGTAGCACGGCAGCCCTTCAAAGGAAGGTGGCTCTCCTCGGTCCCATCCCTCCCTGATGTTTCTCCACACTGAGGCTGAAAGGCTGGCAGCCTCTATCCCTGTAGTGTGGCGGTTGCTTCTCTTTCATTCATCCTGCCTGCATCTGAATCCATGGCTCTGGCACTGTCATTTGCTCAGTGCCACAGAGAAGACAAGAGCACAAAACACACCCTTCACCTTGCTGCCTCCCAGCTGGTTCAGAACACAGGCCCCTGCATGGGGGCTCCACAGGCCCTGCCAAGGGTCTCCTGATGCCTCCTTCTCTGGGAAGCTACCTTCTCAACAGATCAACTTAGTTTCCCCATGAAGAGAAAAGAAACCAGAGAGACAGGCTTCCATTACATGTTATACCGAGTGACCGGCCATGGCCTGGGGTAGGGGCTTCCTGCCCTTTTTGAGAGGAGACAATAATCCACTGCTTGTTGTCTGTAATTTGCCAACGTGGCCAAGGCAGCCCGAAGTTAGATGGGGTTGAGCAGTGTGGAACCAGCCTGGGGACCACTTCACTGCCACCTTCTGTGATGGAGCAGGCTTGGGTGCCTCCCCGCTTCCCCACACAGTCCAGCAGGTTGCACTTTGGGGCAGGTTCTATTTTGAACTATGTGAAACCCAAGGTGCATGAGATCCTGGGTCACCTTGACCAAAATGTCCTGTAGTGGCCCCCCATTTCTGACAGGGCAAGGGTAGGGCTGGAGGGCACAGCCTCAGCGGTCTGGAGGTCCTGGGAATACATTCCAAGGCTTACACCCACCCCACCCCACCCCGAGCTGTGGGACCCAGCACAAGGCCTTTCACTTGTCAGCCTCTGCCTCCTCAGCTGGAAAAGGGGCTAGAGCTGCAGCTCATCACAGGACAGGGTGAAAGGATGAAGGGATCCATGTACATCACTGATGTTTCCAGGACCTGCAGGTGCCACCTCAGAGTGAAGCACTTGTCCCATTGTTAACACAGCCCTTGCTGCCAATGAGAATGGCGAGCATAACAATAACAGACTGATCAACATTGACAGTGATGATGATGGGGCGCAGCAGATACTCCAGACCCCTAAGGAGATCCGGTCCTTTGAATCTACTGAAGCCTTCATTTAAAATTCTGGCTTATCAATAAAGATTAAGAAAGAGCTGGTATGAGGGGCTGTCATTCTATACTATCATTAAGGACTTCCCTGTTCTGACACCTAAGATTTCCTCTGTGGTCCTGCACCTGGAGACCAGCTCTCTTCCATATCTCCCAAATCAAAGTATTAATGGAGTTGAATTTTCTCCCAGTTAGAAAGACGAAAATGTCAGCTTGGGGAGGCTGTGGCCCATAGAGGACTCTGACTCAGCAGCAGAGGCTGAGATAGACTTATCCCAAGTCCCTGAGACAAGTTCCGTCCCGGCTGCTCCCTCCAGGTTTCATACCAAGGAGGATGAAGAGTGAAGGCCCCAAAGGGCAGTGACATTAAGGTGCTTTTTATGGGGGTGGGGATACCCCTGACAAAGAAGAGGATTGGGAAAAAATTAGAATAAAGGATGAGCAGATCTCTCCCTCTGTAAGACTTAGAAATATAATGTAAGTGGCAAATGACCTCATCAGGGGCATGGAAATTAATGTTCAGTCTATTTTAGATCCTGTACACAAAGACCAATACAACAGGCCCTTTATGTATTAACAGACTCAGACATCAGATGTCACCCTCAAAAGTTGGGTGCTGAAACTACATGACACTGTCACATCTGGCTTTTGGTCAGGGAACCAAAGATCTTGCATCTGGGGGGACGAGCAGCCCAAGTAAAAAATTAGAGGGACAAAGTTTAATTAAAGGAAGACACTTTATTTGTAATGTAAAGACGACAAGGAAGGAGAGAAAGAAGAAGATAGACTGCTACCCTGATAAGAGAGAATCGGGGTAGAGGGCTCCAGAAAAACGGAGGACCTGTGGGCCTTTATTCCAGGCTGCTTTCATAGGGTGGGCAAGTTACCCTACCCCAACACACAGAACTCGCCATAACTGCACTGGTGTCTAGGCACCTTTGCCTAAAGTCATTTCTTCGGTGTTCTACATCTAGCTTCTATCTGTTTACTTGTCCTTGACCTACCTTTTAAGGCTTTATCTTTGGGGTGGTGGGCAGCTACTTGGCAAGAGAGTAGCTTATTCATGGTTACCTTAGTGAGGGGCATGTGGATATCTATTGTACTCTATAATGACCCCAGAGTGAATAATGTAGTGATTCTAAAGTGTGCACGCACACACACACACATATAGTAGTAGTACACTGATAAGAGTACATCCTGTCTTAGCCCTCCTCTTTATTTATCCTGTATTTTATCAGAGGTGGGGACACTTATCATTTGCACACCTTGCTTTCTGTGTCCTGACCGTCAGCTCTTTTTCTGGTCTCTTGGTGCATGTCCCAGTGTCAGTTGGTGCCTTTCTCTCTTTCTCTACTCCTATCCTTGAATTGCTTCCTGGGGAATCTATCTAGTAAAGTTTGTTTTTAACTCCTAGTCAGGATTAACCTGAAGACCTAAGGCCCCTATCCTACTTTCTTGTCTACAGATCCCTGTCCCTACAACACAAAGATTCATCAAAAGCGGCCTTCCCCTCCATGATCCAACTGGGCAGACGGTGCTGCAGACACAGGCCTTTAGGGCTTAAGAACGTGAGCAGTTCTTCACTGAGGTGCTCCTGGGGAACTCTGACGAGGTACCACTATGCTTCAGTGACTATTTCCCCATGCAGTTACTTCCTATGCTGGACTTTCCCCTGTGCTGCTGCGTAAAGCCCTGGGTTCCAACAGCTTCTGACGCCCTGAATGTTCCTGGGACTGGGCAAGAACACTGCAAGAACATTTAAGGGAAAGAACCAGGCCTTTAAGACATATCTGAGACAACAAAGGGCAGGGTACAGATCAGAGCCCAGCCAGTACCTACAATGTCAGCATGACCCGAGAGCTCAGGGGAAGCCCAAGGGGAGATCTGAATTAGAAATGACATTCCAGAGCTGCAAAACTGGAGGAGGACTGGGCCTGCCTATGTACAGGATGGTGCTGAGAATGGCCTGCATGGGGTCAAGGAGAGCTGTCCATCCGCAAGCAGGCAGGGCCAGGGGGGCCCCAACAGTGAGTGGAGAGACCAGTTCCTCACAGTGCTATGTACCTGGCCAGAATCCCTGGGAACTCACTTCTCACCTGGTGATGTCATCCCTTGATACAGGTTGTTTCCTGGCCCAGGGCAAGGGGGAGCTACTTGGCCTTCCCTGGCCACTTTCACACTGTAGCTCCAGTTCTTAGCATGTGTCCACAAATGAGTCATTTCTCAGGAAATGTGGCCATAGGGGCCCCACCCAGCTGATCCTGCCAGGTGTCGGTTGGACCTCTAGTGACTGTCACTGATTTCTGACTGTTTCCCAGTCTATCGAGCACACACTTACAAAGAATGAGGGGTTGTGACAGTGCCCAGGGACAGAGCAGAGAAGCCTTCTGTGTGCCAGGCAATGGGTGCAGTGTTGGGGTGGGGAGGGCTCTTGGTCATTTAGTCACTTAAACTATGAGACTCCTGCCTGGGCTCACCCCTCTGTCAGAGCCCTGCCCTAAATTCAGCTGACCCTACCAGCCTTCTGCAGCCCTGGACTCTTATAACACTGGCACCTATAGCTGGTGAGGGCCTGTGGGGAGGCCCAGATCAAGCCCAATGGTAACTTTGATCAGACCTGTGTCCCCACCACAGGAGCCCAACTCTCAGAGATGTCCTCCTCTAGTGCATCTCAGGGGCCAAATCCAGGTTGCCAGAAGCCTCGCCTGAGTCAGAGGTACTACCCAGGCCAAGACTGGCTTCCTCAGATCAGAGGTCTGACTTGTATGTTTCCTGCCTGCTCTTTCTTAGCAAGGATGCTCCTGGGGGCTGGACAGCCAAATGGCAGGGTCCTTGGGCTGTGGCAGTAGGAGAGAGGAAGCCCTGAAGGGGAAGGGTCACTAGTAACCAGGGCTGCTGAGAGACAGGAGGTGTCAGCCACTCACCTCATCTGTATACTGGACATCATCCACGGCATATTTGTTCTTGAAGTGCTCCTTGGAATGGATCCTCAAAAGGAAGCACAAGGAATACCAAGGTCAAGGTCTGGTGTGGGCACTGTCCTGCCCTCCAAGAACAAGTCACACAGCCCCACCCAGCCCTGTCGCAGCTGGCACCTAGCACCAAGTTGGGTCTGTCCAGCACAGACTCAAGCTCAAGGGACACTGGACACAGTGACCACTGACTCACTCCCACTCGCTTCCCTTGGCAACCCCACACCAGCTGGCTCCCATTCTTCTGTGCCTCTTGGCTACCTGGAGCAAGCAGATGCAGGCAATGCCCCCTGCACCCACCATTTCCCTCTATACCAGAGTCAGGGCGGCAGCCAATGGGCCCCACGCTTTGGGGCACAGAACAAGCCGCCTCCCAGTCTTCCATAGAATCTCTTTAAAGGAAAGATAACAAATTAACATTTTTAACTAAGTTAATATCAGCATTACTCAATGTGATGAGAAAAACTCAACCTTACTCATCAATCCTGAAAAACCAGCCAGTGAGAATAGACAGAGTGAATGAGGCTGGCAGCCCTTGCCTACCTCATGATGGGATCCTGGGTCAGAGCTACACTGGGCAGACCTCCAGCTTGGGTCCAGCAGGCCGCCACTCTCAACCCCAGGCCCCGTCAGCAGATGAGCCAATGTCACTGCTGGTAGCAGAGCTTACATATGGAGGAACACACTGACTGTATGGGGAGAGGCCGTCACCAGCCAAGTCCAATGACAATGTACGCACCATCCCGTGCCCTCCCACACCTGGCCTCACATCCACGTCCTAACCCTACCCCCAGAATGCCCATGGTCTCATGTTGTAATCAGCACGTTTCATACTCCACAGGAAATGCACGGCACATGGCTTTCAGATTCTGCTTCCTGGGCCCTTGGCGGGTATGCAGATGACAGGGGTTCCTGGGGAGCCTCAGATGAAAGAGGGGAGAGAGCATTGGGACTGGGGTAGAAGGTAGGACCAGCGGCACAAAGCTCACAGCCACACAAAAGCTGGATAGAAAACTCACTTCAGGCCAAGGAACTCTGGTCTCTACAATCAGCCACTCACTGCAGCCTACGATGCCCTTTGAATTTTCTCTCTTTTTCCCTCTCTGAAGTGATCACTAGGTATCAAGCTTTTACCGTTAAATTTGCACAATTCAGTCACATTAGCTTCCACGTGAGATGGGACTCAAAAGTTAAACGGCCAAGGTCTGCAACCTCCATTAGCACAGCTGCAAGAAGCTCAGGGTGGAAACAGGTGACAAACACCTCGCCTGGATTCTGGAGCTTCCAGCTGAGGGCTGACTGACAGAGAGCTTGCAGACCCTCAGCTGCCAAGCACTGACACTCTGGTACTGAGTGGACCCTGACCCTGTAGTCAGCACAGAAGCATAAGCCAGAAAAGCAAGAGGGTCGACACCAAAATGCTTTTCTGGGCGTTCTCCATCACATCAGATCTGTCTGCTCCAGCTCCATGCAGACACCTATACCCTCAGCAAGTGCCCAAATCCAGCTCTGGTCCATGCCACTATATCACCTCCAGCTGTGACAGGTGTGGAAAGCAGGCTCCCAACAGACACAGGAAATACCAAAGACCTGATTTTGAGAATAGCCCCTATAGCTCCCCTAGAGAGGGCATTTTGGCTACTAGTAGAAGAGCTGGGCACCTGACCTGTCACCTCTACTTCTACGGGGGCCTGAAACCTCCCAGCTCTCCCATCTCACTGGGGGAAGCCATGGGGAAATGTCTTCCTTCTCTTCCTGCCTCACGAGTCTTGCTAGTTAGGGGTCAGAGGCCTGGGGAGGTCTCCAGGCAGTATGCCCAAGGTCAAGGGCTTAACAACTACAAGAGGTGGCAGCAAAGTGGAGCTGAGATCTTCGGGTGGTGGCAGAGCTGTGTGCTCACCTATCCACTCCTCGTGAGGTGGCCATAAGCCATGCAAATGACCATCGGAGCCAAGATGGAGGAAGGGCCAGCCAGCCCACAGGACAGCCTGCTGCTCGGCCCCAACAAAAAGACGTGGGCTCAAGCACCAGCTCCCCGACCCTGATCCCCTCTCCTCAGTGATGTGGAGGACACCGGCTAGCCGGAAGGCAAGCTGGGCCTCAAGAGCCACAAAGTACCACCCCAGCCACAGACCTGGTTCTCAATGGGAGTAATCATCTGACAGATAAAAATCTGAAGAGCTGCAAGCATCTTGTCTGCAAAGTGTATTTCATTCTTTTTTAAAGGGCAGAGATAAATTAAGTTTGAATATTACTTATTTTTTCATACTTTGGGGTTAATTAGAGTAAAAATCATTTAAATGTCACCTGCAGGGATATACACGTCAGGCTACCACTTCCACCCAGTCATGGAAAGCTAAGTGGCCACGACTTGGAAGGGATCATGTCCATATGAGCCCTGCCACACTGGCTGGCAAGGTCACTGGGGTGGCTCTGAACCCACAAAGGACCAGGCTGGCCAGGAGGGCAGGTGGCCACTTGGAGGATCCACACCCCACCCCAGCTGAAGTCTGGAGTCCAGCAAGTTCAGCTCATTCTAGGTCCCATCATATGGAAGACAATAAAAACCAGACCAGGAGGGGATGGGTCAGGAAGAAAGTCACCCCATCCCAGACTCTCCCCTTTAGATACAAGGGACAGCTATGAGGAGAGAGAAGTCCTGGACAGAATCTGTGTTCGGGAACACTGGCCCATGCATGCCTACTCTGCCAGCAGCTGGGCCCAGGCATGAGTTCAAGTTCAGAGCCAGAATGGATGCTTGATCCCTATGCATTGAGCACCAACACCCTATGAAAGGCTTCATGTGGGAAGAGGACATGAAATTAATGCCACCCAACGAAGAAGGGATGGAACCCCCTAGAAAATAAAATTTCAAAGAGCAAGTCTTGGCGGCTGGCTGACCACCTGCATACAGTTGATGAATAAGTAATAGGCCAAGTTACAGCAGTCACCATCAATTTCCAGTGGCCAGAGCCTGCCTTCAGCTCCAAACAATGCCACTGCCTTTCATTCCCTTCACAGCAGAATGCGCTGGCACTTGCTCTGGGGTGGAAGTCAGCAACCATTTCAAGATGTCATTAGGTTGTCAAAGAGAAAGCAGCCTTCTCCAGGGCAATGCAGGCACCTGATTCTGGAGCCCTCTCCTGTGCGCAAATGGTAGCCCTTCCTCCAAGATGCTCAGGCTCAGACAGAGGGATAGCGACTCCCTAAGGAGAAGTGATAAAGACAGCACCCCACCCAGGGTGAGCACAGCACTAGAGATTATCAGGTGTTGATGGGTCTGGTGGAGGCTGTCCAGGAAGAGCCAGAAGAGCCCCATCAGTCCCTCTCAGGAAGGCTCTGTCCCTTAAAGAGGGCCCCACACATCCTCCAAGAGGAGAGGGAGTCTGGGTGGCCACAGTGACTGAAGAAGCCTTAGTCCCTGTGACCCACGGTGTGTGTGCATGGGGGACAGTGCCATGAAAACCCACAAACACACACAACACTACACACCTCATGTCCCTCACACCAAAAAGGCCCATATAGTTCACACCACATACATCCTCCACACCTGAAAACATATCCCACCACACAAAGCCACCACCCATTTATACCCCATACAGGTCCCCGTGAAAAAGGAGCCAGGCCAGAACCTCAGGTCCTCAGCCTGGAGAAATTCACTTGCTACTCCTCCTTGAGCAGCTTGCACTCAGGAGGCCAAATGCCACCTTCCTGCAAACCCAGGCCCCGCACACTGGCTCTCTTTCCAGGGTTTGGCCAGGGGCAGGGACAGAACCCAGCCAAGCTGCAGAGGTTCTGGGAGGGTTTCCCTCTCAGCCCCAAATCACTCACCTTCCATGTGACCCAAAGCTGCCCAGGGCACTGAATCACAGAGGCAATTTCCTACCTACTCCAAGAACCCCAGATACCCAGCAGCCAAAACTGGCTAAGTTTGAGTCTGCTGGAAGATGACAGAAAGCACTCTCATATCCAAAAGGCATCACATTTTAGTAAGCAAAGACTCCATATAAAATTGAATTAGAAGCTACCACCCTGTGCTCCACAAAGGGCCTGGGGTGAGAACAGGCCAGCGCCAAGCTGCCAATGGCCCCCTGGGTGTCTGCAGCACTGACAGCTGGACGGTTTACACAGGTAGCAGCAGATCCTGCAGACGGGCGTTGTTTCCCTGGGTGACTGGGCTGCAGTCTCTGCCAGACGGATTTTCAAAAGCCATCAGATACAGACTCAGAAGGAAGCTGAGGAGCTGAAGGTCAAATGTTCACTCTAGTGGGTTCTGATTGCAAAGACCAGGTAATCCCATCAGCCTCATTCTCAGTGCCCTATGGATCATGAGAGGACCTGGAAGCAGCCACACACATCAGATCTCGCCACTCCCCAATTTCAGCCCAAAATACTAGCCCCTCTGTCCCTGCTCCATTATAACCTTCTCTCCCAGACTTGGGACTCAGAGAAGGTCAGCCCAGAGCAGAGGAAGGGAAAGGGCTCCTGGGGATGGCAACAGCAAGGCCCCAAGGCTGCAGAAGACAGAGATCCATCTCAGCTGCAGGGCCAGACCCTCCCTTAGGATGGAGGCTACGGGTGTGGCCAGCCAGGGGTGCACGTGGGGCCTTTTCTACCAGGGAGAACAACCCTGCAGACCCACTTGTACCTCCAAGGTCACACAAGGCTGTTTGTCTGCACTAGACATGAGCTGGCAAAACAAAGCAGAGGTAGATGAAAGGAAAACTTTTAACAGCCTCTCTGGAACCCAGCTGTGGCCAAGGCACAGAATATTATTCCTGTGTTAGTGAAGAGTACACTCCAGAAAAGCCAACTGCTAACAGTTGTTCCCTGACCAATCAGGTCCTGGGGTTTCAACCCTCAAGTCAAGTGCCATTTGGCTCCCCAGATGGCGGGTGTGGGGAGACATTCGCTCAGGTTTAGCCACTGGATGGTGGAGTTGTGAGGCAGTCCCTCCTCCCACAGCCCCACAGGATGTCCACTCTCAACCCATGGGCAGGCACTCTCTGATTTTTTACCCAAGCCAGCTCTTCATTAAAAGAAAATAGAAAAGAAAATTAATTCAGAGCCCTTCTTCCTCTCCAGATAAAACTTAGGGGTGGGGGATACTAGTGATATTCTGATCAAACCCTCCCTGAAGCTCTCCATGCCCATAGCTCAGAGCAGGAGGCATCTGCTAGGACTGCTGAACCAGCTCTCTGAGCAGTGAGACATTTGAGCAAGCTCTGAGCCAGAAGCCTGATCCCCAGGGAGGCTCAGAAGGCAGCAAGGTCAAAACTGTAGGTGCCATCCATAGCCAAAGGCAACTGAGCTAAGGGACCCAATTACCATAACTCCAAGATGTGCCACCAACAGGAAGGGCCAAAGCCACAACTCAGCTCATCAGGGTGGAGAAAGGTTCTGACCAGATCTAAATCCTTCATCAAGGTTGTTCCAGTTACTAGGGCTACCTGAACACTTAGTGGAGGGAAAACCCATCTCTCACAGTCATGGACTCTCAAGAGTACAGAGAGTAGAGCTAAGTTCTGTTTCATGACATGTAGGACCTGAGCAGAAAGACCCGGAAGCTGGGCTTGGACCCATCGGGAGGCTCACTACAGCTCCAGGCTGGTGCTGGCCACCAGTCCAAGCTTCCTCATGGTGCAGCAGCTGGTTCCAAGGTGATTCACCCCCAGGGGGAACCAGGCGGAAGCCACAGTATACCTTATAGTCCAGCCTCAGAATTCACAAAGCAACACTGCACAACCACGCACTGATGCCCTGACCATGGTCAAGCAGGAAGCAGATTCCACTTTTTGACAGCCACTGTCCAAAATCATTTCTGTGGCCATTTCTCTCCCTTGGTATCACTGCCACCTCATGTCCGAGTCACCATCCCACACCGACCACAACTGTAACAACAGTCCTTGTGGTGCCCCACCAGCAGTGTCACTGCTGTTGCACAGGAAGGAACTGGAGCCCTACACAGTGACTAGGGCCACTCTTGAGCCCCGTGACCTCCCCAGAGAGGCCATGCTGAACCACTGGCAAACTCAGCTTCCGACTGCAGCTTCAGCAAGACCAAGGCCCAGTCTGGTCATGCCACCATGCTGAAAGACAGATTCCTCTTTATAACACAGCAGCTACGAATGGAATAGAGGTGGACATAAAAGACAACAGAAGTGAAGGCAGTATCAAGCGAGGCCTCTCAGTGGTAGCCCAGCCATTCCTTCTAAAAGTCAGCTAGAGAGCATTTCCACTCCGCACCCCGCTCTCGGGGGCCAAGCCTGGGAAACATCTCCCAGGAGAAACAGAGCCTGCTTCTTTTCTGCTACCAATTCTGCCTGAAACCAAGTCTTCCCAACAAAGCTGAAGGCCCAGGGCCAGGCCAGGATTCTGCCAAGTGGCCTCAGAGCAGGACTGACACCCACTTGTGGGAAGACCCCGCACCCTGAGGCAGCAGCAGAGCCCCAACAGCAGGCCAAGATCAACAATGGATGTTGTGGCCTTGCGCTGAAGGCACCTGAGAGGAAGGGCAGGAAGGGCTGGCAGGTGAAACAGACCAAGTCTGGACAAGTTCTACAGGGTTCTGGACCACTGCAGAGTCCCTGCAGCAGCCAGGTGCCTTGTCATTCAAACCAGTTAGAGGCTCACAGCCCACCAGGTAATGAACCTTCTGGGGCTCAAGGCAGTAAAGGCTGCAATTTACACATTAGCTCAGAATAATCACTCTCCAGGTGGAAATGACAGGCTGGAAGGTGGGGAGTATTTAGAGGGATCCTCTGATCACCTCAAGCATTGCTGGTCAGCACCTGTGAGCCGGCAGGAATGGCCCCTGGCTCCAGATGGGCCCAGGTTGGCAGGATAGGGGGTGGGGGCACAAGGACGGGGTGCTGGTGAGGCAGCCTCTCCCAAGGGAAAGCACAGGGCACAGTCCGAAGCTTCCACCCTATCTCACAGCCAGCAAAAGACAGGCTCACCTGTGCCAGAGACAGCATGATGCAACACCCTGCACACGAGTGGCAGAGTCCAGAGAGGCCCCCAGACTGCTCTCCCTGACTGCAGCCAAATCTACTGTAAGGGCACATGCCTGCCTCTCCATCCACCTGAGGCCAAGAGGAAGTGACCAGTCCCTCGCCCCAGGCACCAAGATCAGCAAACTGTGCCTCCAATCTGTGCTCCTTCCCAACTAAGGTGCTGGAAAGGACCTGAACACCAACAATCCCTTCTGCTCTGTGCCTCCAGCTGCCTTTAGGCCAGGCCCTGCACTCCCACCCACATCCTACCACCCCAGCCAGCTGGTGGTCAGCAACCACAGTAACAATGAAGGGACCGCTCCTTACTTTCCCATCCAGGTAGCATAGCTGGCAGGAAGCCTGGGCACAAAGAGGATCGACTTCCCAGATTCGACATCAATGGTACCGTAGCAGCCTGACTCAAGGACACCAAATGCCCAGTGGAAGAAGGACTCCTGTGGAGGAAAGGGAGGCTCATCACCAGTGAGCAGAAACACGAGGCTCAGGAGGGAGGCGAGCAGCAATAGGGGTGCTTCCTCTCCAGAAAAGGGCTTGGGCCCTCTTCCTCTTAGAAACCAGCCCTCAGTCCCACACAGCCCTTCCATCTCTGCATTTAGCTTCTAGCTCCAGATGTGGGCGGCCCATCTCGCCCTGTAGTTTGGCAGGGGTGGCCTGCTGGCTGCCGTGGCCCTGCCCCCAGGCCTCCCTGATGATGGAGGCTTCACTTGTGTGCCCCAGCCCTCCCACACCCACGTCCCCCAGGCCCAGGGCTGGACTGGCTGGGACACAGCAGCCCAAAGCACCATAGCTCCAGCTCGATTTCTCCAAAAATGCCTTACCCCATTTAGGACTTTACTTCCCCTCCTATCCCCAGGGCAGCTGAGAATGTCACTGAGCTAAACTCATCGCCCAGGTATGAAGGAGCTCTGGTGAGATCAACCTAACATCCATCAGGAAGGGAGTCTGTGACTGAATTTAGGAAATTGGTTGCTTTTGTTGTTTGTGGTACTGGGGACTGAACCAATCTGGGGATCAGTGCAGGGCCTTTGCACTGAGCTACATGCACAGCTATTCTTTTATTTGTCATTTTGAAACAGGGTCTCACTAAGTCACTCAGGCTGGGCTTAAATGTGTGCTCCCCCTGCCTCAACTTCCCAGAGTGCTGGGGTTACAACAGGCTAAACTGAGCTAGGTAGCTGGTTTCTAACAAGAAGGATAAACTCAAGACATTTCTAGGTAAATGGAAGGAACCCTGAAACCATATTAAGTGAAATAAATCAAACATACATGTGTAAATATTGCATTGTCCCTCTGGTGTGAGAAACTGAAAGTGTAAATAAGGATCAAAATATATAAATATTTCAAAATAGGAAGAAATTGTACTGAGTGTGAGATACTTTGTTAATAATTAAAATGTTTTACGCAAAAAAAGGTATACCATTATTAGGAAATTAGTTGACAGACTAGCAATTGAAAAAATATTTTTTAAAAGCCTGACATACAGTGTATTTACCATTGTTCTTCTAATTATTTTTCTTATGCAAAATTTTTCCACAGAACTTTTTATATTTTCTGTATTAATATCTATCTGCTTGTATTGCATTAAAATAAAATAAAAACACATTTTAAAAAAAGAATACATAAACCTCAAGAAGTGTCAAGAACTTCAAGAAGAGAAAAGTTGCAGGGGGATTTAACTCAGCGGCACTGCACCTGCCTGGCAGGTGCAAGGCCCTGAGTTCAATCCATGGTACCAAAAAAAAAGAAGTGAAAACGTTAGGCTTCCATACCACTGACAACAGACTCACAGCTACAAGAACAATGGGGCAGAGGGAAGGAGTCCTTCAGGATAGAGCTTTTCACACAAAAGCCTTTGCAATTGCTCTTGGCAGCAGATCTCAGCCTATCTGTGCCCTACAGTGGTGCCAGGATCCAGCTGGAGGGGCCAGGTCTCACCACCTCCTCTCCACACTACTCTCCTTCCCACACCCCTGGCCCACCACTGACTGATGCAACCACTAGACAGCCATGGCCCTAGACCTCACCTAACCCCAGGGCGGTTCTGAAGTTCACATGAGGTCAGGCCTTGGCTCCGGGCACAGCCGTTGGAAGAAAAAGCACTGGACAGGGAGTCAGAAAATGGGGCTCTAATCCCAACTCCACCTCTTGGAAGGCCGTTCCCCCTCTAGGCCTCAGTTTCCTCATCTGTAAAGCAAATGCAATGCTAAGATCAATAGGAGGGTGCCCAGCTCCAGGCCTCCCTGGCGCCCTGGGCAAGTATCCTTGTTTCTGGGAACTGAGCAGTGCCACTGATTCTCAGCCAAAGGCCCCACATCCGGTCTTTGGTTCCAGAAACTCAAGAAGCCCCTGGACCACTTCCCAAGGGAGGAAAACAAGCCCAAGGAGGAGTATAAGAATCAGCATTGGCCAAGCCGGGATGGAGGCCTGGGCCTCTGGCTCCTGCTCAAATAAGCAGCCCAGTCACATGCCTCCTCCCGGTCCTCCTCCCGGCAGACAGACTCTGCCTGGGGAACTCAGCTTTCCCGTCTGTACCTCACCCCTCTGCTGTTCCTGCCCACTGTAGCACCACTCCTGTGCCACCATCCTCCCAACTGTCTGAATTTACCTGGCTGTTAGGGCCTGTGCTAACTGTTGCCTCCTCCATGAAGCCTTGCCTGCCTGCTCCCCAGGAACATAGTCTTTCTGTACCATGACCTAAGAGCTGAGCTTGGCTGGTGATAGCTCTGCCCTCTGCTATCGCTGAGGGCTCATGACCCACCAAATATGAGCTCCCTGGCCCCCCACATCCTCCATGGGACCACTCTAGGATCCTTGTGAGATGCCCAATGCCCGATACATCCCAGCCTGGTGCCAGAGGCAGACAGGCTCACGGCCTCTAGGCACAGCTCACCTGGCGGAAGATGACTGAGGTGTCAGTGCAATAGCGCTGCATCTCCTCACCACCCTGCAGTACCACCACCGAGCCAGCCTGCACAGCCGCGTTCTTTTGTAGGCGCTCACACAGGCGTCGCCTGTTCAGGGCAAAGAGGGCCAGAGGCACCTTCAAGGTCTCATTCCCCAAGGAAAAGGAAGGGCTGCAAAGACAAGAGAACATGCCACCATGTAGGCCTGTTAGCACCTCCAAGTGTACCCACCACGCATGGTCTGGGTCCCTGGAGAACTCCCACTCACGCATGGCAAGCTGGCTAGAGTATCACCTGCTTGTAACCCAGAGACAGCCCCTCATGGCGCTGTGACAACCACGAGGGCTTGTTAGACACATCCGCCCTCTGTGACCCTGAGCACTTGGTCCACCCTCAGAATGAGGGACAACAGGATCTGCTCAGCTAGAGGGCAGGGGCGGTCCATGGAGGGAAAGCCTGCAAGGGGCTGGGATGGCCATTAACACAGATCTGACCCAGACAACACTGGCTCCCTGCCGCGCACCTTACATTCTGTCCTCTACCCTACAAGTCACTGACCTCATAGTCTGGTTGTCCCACCCCCCTACACACACACACACACACACACACACAAGCAGCACTCTGAGCTGAGTGACTAAGGAGGAACAATGGCAAGATGGCCCTGTGAACAGCAGCCACAGGGTGCACATCTGGAGGACAGCAAGGACAGCCTCACCTGTGGCTGGGTGGAGCCTGGCCTGGCAGAGCTGGGAGCTGTTCCTCTGTAGGCTTCTTATACCCTCTGACTTCCCTGGCCACTAAGAAGACACAGCTCACGTCCCGTACCCACTCTCCGAGCTCCCCATTCGGACCCACCTGAGGCTTCTCCTTCACCTGTAGGTGGCCTGTCCCACCCCCCTACCTACTTGGACATTTGTCCAGAAAGAACTGCCCTCTCTCCAGGGGCATTCTCAGCAGCCAGACACAGAGAAACCTCAACTCCCTAGCCTGACAGCCCCATGCTGCTGAATCTGTTGTGGGCCCCAGTCCTCACTAAGCTTCTCTCTGCCCACAACACTGGGGCTGCTCCGTGCTGAACCAGGCCCAACACCAGCTGTTCCATCCTTCGTCTCCCTTCCTTCTGGGAAAACCCCCTGCTGGAGCCCCTGGGCTGAGTCCTGAAAACTTGTCACCTTCCTGGCAGCACAGCTGAGCCCCATCAGCGCCTCAATGGATGACACCCTCCTGGGATTCACAGATTCCCTGGCCCTTTGACACCACCTCTCAGTCCCGTCACCTCAGACTCAGCGGGCACAGCACAGAATCAACCCCATTTCCTAGTGCCACCAGAAAGGCAAGGTACCTCTGCCATGATGGTTATCATGCAATCTGTGTTGTGTGTTCATTGCCCGCCTGCCTGCCTGCCTGTCTCTCCCCCACCCCATCATTAGCAAAGCCATCAGCCCTACCATCCACACTCCCCACCCCCAATCTGACTCCTTCCCCTACGGTGGTCTGTTGCCCCCTCTGAGATGTTCTCTGGATCTCAGCTCCCTCCCCTCACTGGCTTCTTCATGTCCTTACTCCCCATCCCCACACGGTGAGGGACCAGGCCCTCCTTGTGTTCCTTGGTGTCCTCCACAGCGGTGCAGGCGTTCTCCATCTTTCCTAGACACCAAGAAAGCTCCCGCCTTTGCTGCTGTGGCCTAAGGGAATGTCCTCCTTGAAGGTGCCCCGGCACAGCTCATTCAGCTCATATTCCACACACACCTCTGCAAAAACGCCTCCTTCCTCACAGAGCAGCTTTTCATGGGTACCCACCCAAACCTTAGCCCCCTGTTCTCTCTAGAGCACTCACTACTATTTAATTTATTTGGTATCTGCTTGTTATTTCTTCAGGCAAAATTTAAGCTCCCTAAAGACAAGGGAAAAGCAGGTTTCGATATCTGTTCAAAGACTGACCAAAGGAGGAAGGAAGAGCAGACTCCCGCAAGTCCGCTGAAAAGCAAAGTGTGAAGTCAGGCTGTAGCCAGGGTACAGATCATGGAGCCCAAGGAAGGCAGGGATAGCCTAGAGCTGGTGCAGAGAGGGTGCTGCCTGAGGACTATAGCAATACCTTCTTCCCTCACAGCCCTACAGCCATGAGGAGGACCTGCGGTGCCTCGCACGGGCCCCTCCAAGGAACTGCCTCTCATAGCAGTGACACACACGCACGTCTTGGCCCCACACATCTTGCCCTCCAGCAACCTTCTAAGGATGGTCTTCCCTGGCTTTCCTCTTTGAACCTGCGATTCTCTCCTCCTGCCTTTGTGCGGTCCTTCTATACTGGACCACAGCTCTATCCAGGCCACCTTGGGCCACAACCCTCCCTAGGATCTTGAACAGCTAGTTTCCCTCCCTTTTTTTTTTCCCCAGATTCCCACAACCTGCCCCCAGTTCTGTGAACCATCCCTGCATCAAACTCTCTTCCGTTCACCCTTGAGTGAACTCCTGGATTCAGACCAGCACCCTAGTGAAGCAGTATGTTCACCTCTAACCTACATGTAGTGTGCTCTTATTGGTGCTGTAGCCTCCGCCCACTCCCCTGGGCCTGCTTTGGTCACTGTTAGGTCCTCTGCCCAGCACCATGTCTGACACACAGCAAGGCCTCAATAACTATCTGCTGAGTATACAACTGTCGTAACCAACACATGGGCCACACTCCCAGCTGTGCAGCTGAGAAGGTGCCGCATCAGCTCCAGGATAGGAAGTGGACCCTCCGGCCCCTGCTAGCCAGGAAGGGTGGAGGGGTCAGGAATAACCCACACATAACCCGGTGCTAGAGCCTCACTTCCCCTTCCCAGGCACGTGCCCTTCCTTCTTGCCACAAGGGTGAACAGACTGTTGGGTGGGCCCAAGCCACCAGGGCTGCTGATCTGCCATGCTCACCACAAGGATGAAAGGCCAGCGAGAACTTGGTGACAGCTGTAAACATGACTGTCCCCGGCCTGGCCCTGAGGGCAGGAACTGAAAGTGCAACTGCCAGCAGCCATGCCCAGGTGTTCCCCAAGGCCTCCCTCGCCCTTTCCCCTCAAGTTGTAAAGCCTTCGAGGGGGATATAGGAGAGAAACTTGCCTCGGTGGACTCCCCATCAGCACAGAGGCAATGACCCTGGGGCCCCGGTCCAAGCCACTCAAGAGTACCACTGGGTGCCTAATCTGGGCCACCTCATCTCTCATCACTCGCCTCCCCCTGACTCTTCGCCCTCCTTAAGTACAGCAAGTGCTGCCTCTACCTGGCCTGCAGCCACATACCTAGAGGACCTAAATCCTTTTGGGCATCCAGACTAGGGTTTCTTAGCCATCACATATAAGGAATGTAAACACCTGTGGATCGGGGTGTCTGAGGGGATCCTTGGACACTGAGGGGTGACTGTACTTACTCCTCACGCAGGATTCAGGCAGAACACAACCAACTCTGAGCTGGGTGCTGGGCCTGAGGAGGGCAGCTCACCAGGTAAAACAATGTTCTGCAGCCATTCATTTACTACAAGACAGCCCAAGTCAAAAGTTACAGAGATATAGCTTTTGAGCTCACAGCATAAACCAAGACCCCCGAAAGGCAGTCAGCAAAAGTAGCACCAATAAAATACAGTATCTCCAACTTGTCTCTGCTAGGGCTTTTGTTAACTGGCCCCCAGAAATTAAAAGGTAGAAGTCCTGCCATCTCTGAATCCCAGGGCAAAGAAGGCACACTTTATTGCAAGCCCCCAAGGGCACAGCATGTCCAGGAGGAATAAGAGAGGCTGGTAGGACAACAGCTCCAGGGCCTCAAAGAAAACCAGGGCCAGCCCTCCCTGACCAATCACCAATGGTCAAGAACAAAAAGCAGAGTACCTTACTTAACATGGTGTCAGCCCCCAGGGAGGGTGTGACGCCACTGTCCCTGAAACCCATCCCTGTCACATACAACCTGTGCCTGTATGGGCGCCACTCTCTCCTTTCCCCTCAAGGGCCTCCTGCAGGGTTCTAACCAAAGACTGACAGACCTCTGAGGAGCCTCACATAGAATTTAGAGGCTTTATCTATTCAGATGAGGAAAAAAACGTACCTTTACTTTCTTCAACTTCTAACACAAATTTATATATTTTTTAATGATTACTGTTAGTGACTCAGTATCAGCAATGTGTGTGACTCTATCACCTACAAAATCACAGGTACTTTCATTTCACAGTACTGCTGTTACAGTATCTCAAGCTATCACCTTTGCTCATCACTACTTCAAAATTAAAGGGGTTATTAAACCTTCTGCTAGCTTTTGTTATTTAAAGTGTTAATAAAGAAACACGTATCACTGTATCACAAGTTTATTTAATATTTTGATACCTGATTTACATATAACTGGTTTCCCTTATAATCGCATTATCTATCTCACATATTTAAAAGCATTATACAAGCCAGCCTGTGATTCCAGCACTGTGGGAGGCCAAAGCAAGTGGATCACAAGTAAGAGCCCAGCCTGGCAACTTAGCAACTTAGTAAAACCCTCTAGGGGAAAAAAATATATAGAAAAAGGGATGAGGATGTAGCTCAGTGCAAAGGCCTGGGTTCAATCTCCAGTACCACAAATAATAATAATTATAATAATGAGAAAGCAAGGGTGCTGCTATGGTTTGTCCCCAAAGGTTCACTGCTGGGGGCTTGGTCCTCAGTGTAATGCCACCTGCCACATTATGAAGCATAACGAGGCCCTCAATAAATGCAATCAGCTGATCAAGCTTCTAAAATTGTGAGCCAAAATAAACCTCTTTTCTCTATGAAGTTCCCAGTCTCCAATATTTTGTTATAGCAACACAAAGTTTTTATTGATGCCCATGGAATCCAGGCACAGATAAGAACAAGATCCCTGCACTAGAACGTGAAGCCACTTCTGGATAGAGCCACAATGCTAAGGACCCAGGAATAAGAGTCAGCCAAAAACTAGCCTGCTTTCCCACCCTCAGCCTACAGCACAGGGCCAGGCCTTGAGTAGATGCTTGCAATGGCTACCTGACCGTCCAAGTCCAGGCAGGACAATCTGAAGGCAGGTGGTCAGCATCCCCACCCCAACTCCCTTTCTCCTGGGGAGAACTGAGGGGACAACACAAACTGGGCCCAAGAGAGGGTTGGACAAAGTCAGGATCAGGCCTGGGGAAGAGCCAGCCTGGCTCCCACAGACCCACTCCTACCCTTAATCCCAAGGGTCAGCATGAGACCAGGAGCACAAGGTTCACAACAGGGAAGGACAAGCTTTCGGCCAAGAACCTGACTCCTCCAGACACTTTCTCTCCAGAAGAATGCTGATTCTGGCCTGGCCTATGCCCCAGCAAGTGCATACCCAGGGCAGCTTCTTCTAGGTTAGCAACAGTTCCCTGGGCACCAGTCATGTAAAGAATTAGAGCTACTTCTTATTTCTCCTTGGAATCCGGATCCCCTTCCCACCCACATCTTGTTTCCTCACTCACTGAGGCTTACCCAGGAAATCAGGACAGGATGTTGGATTTCGAGCAAGTGCCTCTTTCTTTTGTGTGGCACCATTTCACCAAGCACCAATCACACGGTACCTCCCATCCCACACTACAGTAGGACCCTGTAGGCAACCAAATCCAACTCCCTGGGAGCCCGTGGCCAGGATTACACAGTTCATTATGCATGACACATTGACCTGCCCTGTGAGTGCTGCTGCTATGAGTGCTCATCTTTTGCTGGGAACACACTCAACCTCCTCCCCATAAGAAAGCCACTGGGCTCTGGCAGAGGCTCAGGCTCTAAGTCTCTGAGGGAAGCCTTGTACCCGCCTGGGGTGGCTTTTCCCAAGGAGGCCTGGGACAGCTCTGGAAGCACCCTGCACCTGTCAGGTCTCCCTTCAAATATGGCAGCTTCCCAAAACCTCCATCTCACCCATCCTGTGCAACGACGAGCCAGAGAACAAGCTCTGCTACAAGAGCCCTCCACTCAGTTTCAAATCACCAGTTTGGTCTGTACCTTTAGGGAAAGAGCAGGCCTTACGCCAGCCTGGAGCTCTTAACCAAGTGCAGTCCCTGAAAGTCCCTACGACCACCTAGCCAGTTCAGATAGAGATAAGAGACCCACATCACATACCAAATCTATATCTATTTTACTCTGCTCTAAAGCCACTGGGCTCTGGCAGAGGCTCAGGCTCTAAGTCTCTGAGGGAAGCCTTGTACCCGCCTGGGGTGGCTTTTCCCAAGGAGGCCTGGGACAGCTCTGGAAGCACCCTGCACCTGTCAGGTCTCCCTTCAAATATGGCAGCTTCCCAAAACCTCCATCTCACCCATCCTGTGCAACGACGAGCCAGAGAACAAGCTCTGCTACAAGAGCCCTCCACTCAGTTTCAAATCACCAGTTTGGTCTGTACCTTTAGGGAAAGAGCAGGCCTTACGCCAGCCTGGAGCTCTTAACCAAGTGCAGTCCCTGAAAGTCCCTACGACCACCTAGCCAGTTCAGATAGAGATAAGAGACCCACATCACATACCAAATCTATATCTATTTCTTACTCTGCTCCTTAGGACAGGGCCATAGGCTGGATTCATAGCTCTGACCATGAGATCCTTGCCACCCAATTGGAACTTTGTGCAGTTCTCTACCTGAAATGTATCTCGTTGCTTAAGGTCTAGCACAAAGACCATCCAGGAAATGAAGCTTTCCCGCATTTTTTCCTGACCTCAGAACTCATCTACACACACACACACCAAGACCAGAGTCAGACAGAGAGATGACAGAGACTCATGTGTCCATCTGTCCCAATGGCCTGTGAACATCTGTTGATAGGCCCAATTCTGTTCCTGGAGGTGCCCAATAAATGTTTGACTTGCATATAGGAAGTCCTCCCAACTTTGGGGACCAACTGAGAACCTACTTTGCTGCATTCTGCTGCACTGCCCCAAAAGATACATCTGACAACCAGTTTTTCCATTTTGATTTCAGTTCCCACCCTGATACCTGGGGTGCTATCCTCTCCTATTCCTAACTTTCCTGGTGCCCCGCAGACCAGGCCGACAGCTCCTTCCTAATAAACTTGGCCCAAGGGAACAAACTCTTTCAAAGCAGATCCAAGCAGATTAAAAGTCTTCCAGCCCTTCAGGACAAAGTCTGAGAGGCCATCTGGGACACCACACCCTCTAGGCCAGGGATGTGTTGCTATCTTTCCTATCTCCAGGACAGTCCGAATTCTCAATCTTTATCTCTTAACCTTTGCTCCAGGCAGATGTTCCCTCATCTGGGATATTCTCCCCAACACTTGGATGAGCCCATCGACCCATAGTCCTTCCTCCTTTCATTCTGCAAATATTCCAGTATTATGGAACATCTACTGTGTGGAGGGAGCTGAACTAGTAAGGCCCTGCCCTTTCACTCTAAATGGGGGAGAAGACACAAGTACAAACCAATGTACTCCATAGTTTACTAAGTCATAAGAGCTACAGAAAGTGAGACGGGTAGTTAGGGAAGGCTTCTCTGAGGAGCTGACATTTGGGTCCTGAAGGAACTGGGGAAGTGTCCCCCTGGAAGAGAGATTCCACGCCCATCTCAGATACTGCCCCCTCTCGGGAAACGCCCGGGGGTCTGGCGCCCTGAGGTTGCCACCTTCCCCGCGGAGGGGCGTGGCAGTGAACACGAGCGCCCACCAGAGCTCCCGCCTCAACTGCACAGAGTGTGGGGCCGACACAAGCTAGCAGATGAGGTCTGGGAACCAAGGGTGAGCCCAAAGGGCAGCGCGTGGAGCGGAGATCAGAGCGCCAGCGCTGGCCCTGCCTGGGAGCGCGCACCTCGCCGCTCAGCGCTCTGGAAGCAGCGCGCTGCCCTCGCCCACACAGCGATCCTAGCCAAGGCCGGAGGCCTCAGGCCGACCGTCCAGCCAGGAACACCGAAGCCCCCTCTCGCACAGGCGGACAGGAGCGAGCGAGAAGAGCAGCACTCACCGCGCGGAAGACGCCATGTTCAGCCGGCAAGAGCGTCACGTGAAGCGCCGCGTCAGCTGAAGCCCGGCTCCATCCCACCGCGGGGGGCGTGGCCAGGAGGGCTTCTGGGCGGGGGCGGGAGCCTCTGCCCCGCCCCCTGTAGCTTCCGACTCACCCAGACTAGCCAAAGCAGAGCTTGGAGTGCAGCGAGGATCCTTGCTGGAAAACCCCCACCTGCTGGGGAGGCGCGAGACGAAGCTGGAGCGGCATCTCTTGTCTTTTCGAGGTGGGTGGGAAAGTCTTGAGGTAATGAACACCTTGATTCTGGGTGAGCTCTCAACCCAGCGTCCCAGCCCACCCGCGAGAAGAACTCAGAAATAAAGAAATCGTGGGCGAGGAGAGGAGTTACTCTGACCCAAGGACTGGGAAGGGCTTGGGCAAAGGCTGGGGCTCTTGGAGGAACGCAGTGGAACTTTCAGTGTCCAGGAGAGGGAATGTGGGGAGAGAGGTGCAGCCCCACAAATAAGCAAGGGCCAAAGCCTGGAACTGGGTCTGGTAAGATCTTTTCCAAGCGCCCTCAAGTGCAGAGTGGAGAAGAACCTGGAGGAAGACAGGCCAGAGAGGAGACCTGGGGAGGAGGAGTTCAGAAGAGCTTGCTCCTCTGCCTGGTTGTGCTCTGGTTGTGCTCTGGTGTTGGTTCAGGGCCCTACCCAGAAGGAGAAATCAGAAAACAAATGCTGCCCTCCCTGCTGCCAACAGGTTAGAACAGACACTGGCCAAATACTTTGCAAATGTTAGCTCATAGAAATCTCACAAAAACCCTGAAAATTGAGAACTGTCCTTAATTCCATTTTACAGATGAGGAAACTGAGGCCCTGAGAGGTAAGTGACATGCCAGATATCACATAGGTCCATGTGTCCTTGAGACCCATTATTAATAGTTTCACCTTCAGCTAAAGAGACTCAACTCCCTAATAAAGATACTTTTTAAAAATAATAAAGGGTGCACAGAAAGCTATTAATGCCACTTTACAGATGGAAAATCTGCCCCCAGATAATCACAGCCTTCCCTAGCACCACTTCTTTCGGTATAAAATGTGTCAAAATTAAACAACTGCCAGTTCTGAGTGCTTATTAAAATGAAAAAGGAGTAACTACCCAAAATATTTGCAAAATAGTAAGGGCGGACCACCCACCTACTGAAAGCACCCTTGGTCTATGGGCAGGAGTGAGGAGGCCCTCCTGCGAATCCAGGCCCATGTGGACAATGGGCCTCCTAGGCAAGGCTCTCCTGGCTAGCAGCTCCATCAGCCTGGCACCCTTCACCCCAACCACTCCCTTCCTCTTCAGAGGCTCCTGCAGGCCTGCTCCACCACTCCTTCAGCCTTCCCCGTCAGAGGCTCCACAGGGCTTCTCCTCCACTCTCCCCTTCCCACTGGAGATTCTAGCCCCCCCATCCCACTCCCACCTCTCAGGACTCCCCACTGGAGGCCACCACAGGACTGCCCCCTCCCTCTCTCTTGCTGCCCATCAGAAGCTCTGGCAGGGGCTCTGGGGGAAACCACTCAGGGTGTGGGAGAAGACTGCATAGTTACTCATGCAGGGCAGACCCAGGACGCTGCTGGGAGCCAGGAGGCAATTGGGGAAAGATTGATTTGAGAGAGTTGGAGTGGGAGTGTGTAAATCAGCTGAGGGAGAGCACCAGGCAGCAGGCTCGTGCCTCACACAGCGAAGCATCAGTGTCGTCTCTGAGGTCACAGGCCCTTCGTGGAACAGTCTGCCCTCCTGCTGGCCAAGAGGTTGCTGGAGGTGTCCGTGTGTTCCTGAGCATCATGACTTCATCCCCGGACAACTCCTCTTTGTCCCTGTGACACTATGTCGGGCTGCTCTTGTCACCCCCTCCATGCAGCCACCACTCCCTTGTAGCTCCATGGACACTGCTGACATCTAGTTGTCTGGAGATGGCAGGACAGACAGACTTTGACTCATGAACCACCCTTGGGGCATTCAGAGACATCTCCTGGAAGAGCCAGGACATGGGCCCCATGCCTCTTCTGCCATATACTGGAGATGCTGGTCTGCTGGAAATTCAGTGGGACCATGCTAGAGGTGGCCTGGCTGCTGTCTCTACCCTCAGCTGCAGAAGTGGTCCATGGTGCCACACTATGATGGGTATGCCATGAAGGCGAGGGACCCAGACCCGGATCTTCAGACTGTGGGCCAACAAAAAAGAAGAGGCCTCCACGTTGTCCCCAAGAAGGGATAGGGTGAAAGAGCAGGCTTTGTGCTGTGTCATTGGTGGGGAGTGACTGAGGTTCAGAGCAGAAAAGCTGCAGGACCCAAGCTCGTCTCTTGGACAGGAGTTTAGCAGAATTGGAGGGGAAACTAGAAAGAGGCAGCTTACCAGGGCTCAGAGTGCAGCTCAGTGGTGGAGCATGTGCTTAACATGCACAAGTCCTGGGTTCAATTCCCAGCACCAGGGAAAAAAAGGAGGGATCTCTACCAGCCTCTAATGGTAAAACCCTACACCAGATGGCATTTGAACTTTTGTGGTTATTTGTTTGCTTTTGCTCAGAATAGAAAACTAGACTGAGGGCCAGGGATTTAGCTCAGTGGTTCCTCCACCTGCCTCAAAAGTGCAAGGACCCGAGTTCGATCTCCAGTACCAAAAAAAATAAATAAATAAACTGAGAAAACCAGTGCCAAATAGACTGAAAAAAAAGAATGGGGATACGTGTGTGTGATGGGAACAGGGTACATATTCCAACCCAAGCTCTTCCTGGTTAGAGAACAAGAGTTGTGACAGGCATGACGTGCCCAGGTAGCTGTCTTTCCATCATCTTGGCCGATCCCAGCCTTCTTTGGCCTTTGCAGTGTAGCAGCTGCGGCAGCCACAGCTCTTCTAGTCCTGAGGTCAACATGGTGTGCTCTGTCCTCCAGGGCCACACCCCAGCTGTCATCCCCAGTCCCCAGAGGAGCCCCCACATTATGTCCTATTCCTCCCTTCCTTCCTCCCCTGGCCCAGCCCACCTGGGCATCTATCTTCCTGTAGAAAAGAGGCGGGCAGCAGCCGAGGGGCCTTCCCTAGGAAGCCCCCGTCACCATCTCAGATGAAGTGGTCCCTGCTGTGTGCTCTGCTGGGGTCTACGAGGCAATTCAAGATGAGAAATGGAACGGTGGCTTCGCAGGAGCAAATCATTCCAGCAGCACCTTCGAAACGTTGGAGGAAACAAGCTCTTTGTGTGTGTGTGTGGAAATGGGGAATATATTGTTTTTTACTGTTTAGAAGACTGTTTTCTCATCCTGAAATCACAAGCTGCTTTCTTCCACTGAGACTTATAAATACACCCAATTATCGACATTCAATATAGGAAATAAAGTTCTGAAATTGTTTTCTTCCGCACACACGGAGTAGGCCGGCCGGGTTGCGCAGGTGATAATTACTTTTACTTCTCAAGAACGTCGCCAGTGCAGAGTGGCTGGCAGCTCCACTTTTTATTGCTTTCACCTTTATTACATTCCCCATGTTGTACTGGGCTATTCATTGACCTAACTTTATTACCCCATCTCAAGATCTTGATAAAAATGAATGAAATTCCTTATTTCAAATGTATGAGAGCCAAGTCCCAGAGCAGGGAGATTTGGTTCTGCGGCTCAGGCCCTGGAGAGAGACTCCCTGGTGAAGGGCAGGCTGTCCCTCTGTCCAGCTCAGAGTCCCAGAACATCTCTGATGGGACAGTGGGTCTCTGCTGCCATTCACAACTGGCCCTCTCAGGGACTCCAGTCAGGGTGGCATTTTAAGAAGGATGCCTTCAGCCCTGTATGAGATCACTTGGAGTTTGTGTCCCTGGAAGCCTCCATCCTATCTGCCATTATCAAGACTGGGTCACCTGAGTTTCCTCCCTCTCCTGCTGGAATTGTTGCTGACCTCACCTTGTTGACTGTTTCTCATTAAAGCTTTGTGTCTCCTCTGACCTCTTCTTCCATGACCTTTCCATGGCTTCTGAGTGACTGTAAAGCTTCCTGCTACCTCGTTGCCTGGCTGCAATCTCTCCCCATCCTGAGACCTCGGTCATCAGGGTTTTCTGTAGCAAACAGCTCCTCAGTCTGGCTATCTCTAGCAGAAGAGGGATGCACTGGAAGGGTGTCACATAGCCCAGATGGAGGAGGGTGAGCTCCGAAAACAGGCAGGAGTCAGGCAGGCTGGTGGCCAAGCACACCACCAGGCCATACCCTAGAAGACATGGCAGTGGTACTGCTGCCCAGACCCTTGCCACTACCTCTCCCTGGGCATAACCTTGGGCTGACACAACATCCTGGCTTGATTACCATCATGGCCAAAGCCCTTGGTGAGCAGTGCAGCCAGCTGCAGAGCCCAAGTCTTATGCCTACACACTGGCTGTTCTGGCCCCTTCTAGGGATGGAGATGCAGAGGTAGGTAGTGGCATGTCACCAAGTTCCATTCTCCAAACAGGAAGTGGTTAGATGTGGTTAAATGGTGATGTACTATGATCACAGCACTTTGGAAGGTTAAGGCAGGGAAATCACTGGTTTGAGCCTAGTTTGTGCAACTTGGAGATTTAGTGAAATCCTGTCTCAAAAATATTTTTTAAAAACAAAAATAAAAAGGGAGCCGGGCATGGTGGCGCACGCCTATAATCCCAGCACTCAGGAGGCTGAGGCAGGAGGATCGCTGTGAGTTCGAGACCAGCCTGGGCTACATAGTTCCAGGTTAGTCTCAACTACATAGTGAGACCCTGTCTCAAAAAACAAAAAAATAAAAAAAAAATAAAAAAGGGATGTGATTGCCACTTAGCATGAAAGCCCTGGGTTCAATGCCCAGTACTAAAATAAAAGTAGTTAAATGCTGGTAGGTATACACAAAGCCCTGTACAGTGATGGATCACTTTGGGGTACCAGTACCCGCCAAACAAAGCCTTAAAAAGTTTGCATCTATAGTCTCATCTTGAATATTGCAATCTAAAAGATCAGAATGCAGTGATTTTCGTTCTACCTAATGTGTGAGTTTCTTATTTCATGATTTAGTACAATTTTTATTTTCAGTGTACATGGGGAGGATGTATAATTCTTGTGGGGCTGTTTGGAAGAGTT